TCTGAAGAACGTCCCGAATCTCAGAAAGTTATCAAGTAAACTCATCGAAGATAAGAGAACATAGGTTGGTAGGTAAGGTAGGTACATACTAATAATGACCAAGTAGTCATTGTATATCTGTATTAGGTATTTGCCAACCCGGATTGGATATACGATAATGTCTATATCAAGGATGTCCTCCAAGAATACGGCAAGAAATAACCGTACATTATTTTGCAAGACCGTGGGGCTAGTTGATACGGAAGGTGTAGATAGCTATAAGGAAAATCGAGTGGGAACTGAGGATTAAGTAAAGGTTGAAATTTTCAGTAAGGACGGGGATTGGACGAAAGTAGAAATACATATATAGATATAAGGGCATAATCGTATAAGAGGGCGAGTGCTCAGGCACTCATAAATTCGCGAAACTACTCAAATCGTTCGCTCTGTTAATTAATTAAGCTCTCAGTTTTCACATAAACTCGCTACTCGTTAAATGTGACGGCCGCTTGGTAGGTTGGTGGATTTCACCACCGTCGTCGTACCGGGTGTTCCTAATGTCACGATCTTCGCCGAGTACCCTAATTAGCGTGGCTCTTACTTAACTTACTTTCGAACCCTGCTGGCTCTTGCCGCCCGTATAAGAGGCTACGACGAATTGGGGAATCCGAAGAATGGACGGGAAAAAAAAGGAAAGGACAAAAAAATAACGAGAAAAATTTTCTTCTCTCTTCTTCTGCTCAAAGAGGACGAATTTTGTTCGGGCCATTGATCCGTACCGAGCAGGAAAATAATTGCGGTGAGAGCAGCCATTCGCGATGCTCACCAGTCCCCCCTTTCTCCCTGGCTCTATCACTTCATAGGTATCTCTTCCATACTTGCTTCCTTTCTTTCTTCCTACCTACCAACCTAACTTGCCCTACTCATTGCTTTCTTCTTCTCTTTCTACTGACTTATCTTGCTCGTTCAACTAAAACGCTCAATGCGTAAAACACTTTAGCCTCTCCCTGTCACTTGGTAAATTATCGTGACTCCAGTAGTACCTGACCTACCTACCTACTTACCTACTTATCTTGTACCTAATATTTTCAGTACCTATCTTGGCATGCAAAGGATTGACTTTATTATCATTACTAACGATTCCAAGTTACGTTTTGTGTCGTGTGCTGAAATGTGCCGAGAATTGTACCGAGTTTTCAGATAATGCTCACAATCCGTGTCAATTCTGTGAACTTGGCTTGAATGTATCGGGTACCGTGACTGCTTCGCACTTATAAGTATACGCATCAGTATATCGATGGCTGTTACCTATAAAGGGTCTGCCTCGAGATCGTAAAGAAAAACTGAGGTTTCCAAGTACTTTTTCAAATGTGAGAGAAGGGTCGAGAATTGGGGTATTCATTTAAATGCCAATAAAAGAGCTGCGAAATGAATACAGATTAGTGTAGCTCTTTTAGGGTGTTATATATTCTTATGTATACATAATATCTATGTAGTAGGTACGTACATATACGTAAAGTGGGAATGAAATGAGAAAATAATGTTCCGAAAAAGAAAAAAATGGGAATATTATATGTGTATTGTAACGTGATTTTTGGATTCACGATCACAACGCGAGTTGCCACCCTTGGAGTTGCCACCCTGCTCAGAAGCTACGCTCTCGGGTTGATCCGTACAATTACGCCTATGCCCTCGAAAAGATTTGTTATTGTTGAGTTGATGTCCAGGTGCTCGAACCTGCCGTGGAGAGACAGTCTCGACGTACCGAGTTGCCTGGCAGAGAAGAGTACCCGACGGGGACTCCACGGAGCGGCTAGGGTCCAGGTGAGATACCGGCGCCCCGCTGGAGAGTGGCAAAGGGCTGTAGAGCGAACGGAGATAAGGTTTTGATACGGTTAAGGGCAAGGAAGGAACCCCCTGACCTGAGTTATAGTTGTTGTGCCCAGCTGTCGCCCGATGCTCTAGGGAAGCGGTCGTGGAGGATCTTCACTTGTTACGTACCGATTCGTTAAGAAACGATCTCGATTTAGTTTAAAGGGACGACTCAAGGGAAAAAATAAGAGTTATCAGCTATAAGGATCTCGACCAATCAGAATGATTAGTTCTCGAATTTGACTATTGTCAAAGCAGTCTGTCTTGGGACACCGATCTAAGTGTCACGAGCTGGCTCGCGCTCCCGTGCTATATGTTAATAGTTCTAGCTGTGCATCCTGTACAGTATAGAAAGTTCTTGTTTGTGCAGTTCTCGCGTTGCTCTCGCCATATCTAGAAAATCCTACCGATTTTATACGTGTGTTTCGGAAGTCCAGTGTCCACCTGAGTGTCCCCTCGATACAGTTTTCGGTCTTCACGGATCAACTGAAACAGCTCCGGTGAGGACTTTCAATTTATTAATTGGAGAAGGGATTTCGATCTCATAGCTCCGGCTGATTCTTTTACGCTCTCCATCATTTGCTCTCTGTATTCCGGCACTATTTACCTGACGCTTACTTCGACCCTCTTTACCTTAATCTAGCAGTCTGAGTGGTCATGCATTTCCTTAACCGTTCGCTTCCGTTTGTGCATCCAGTTGCGTTTACAGATTTTACGCGACCCCGAAGATCAGCATTTACAGTTGTGTTTCTCGATCTTACACGTCCCCAAAAATCGACAGGATCTGTTAAGCTATCGTCTTTTCTGATAGGTTCCGTCAGAATTCTCGTTTTGACAAAGTTGAGACTGTTCCACCTCAACTCCCACGTCATACTAACCGTCAGATCCCAGTGAAAAAAAAAATTGGCTGATGTCCGCCTGGCATGCGGATGCATGGAGGACGGGTGGACGGCTGAAGATGACGTAGGTTAGTTCTCGGATTTTCGTTATCAGTGTCGAGTTGAGAAAATACGTTAAGGGATCATCACAGTATATAATTTTCAAAAAATCGATTTTTTTTTTCATTATCCGATAGTATACACGGTTATAAAGATTCTGTCCAATTTTTATGTCGAAATTCAAATTATTTCGATCACTACAGTTTTTCTTAGAAAAAGGGACTGGAGGGTCAGACTTGGCGCACTACAAACTTTAAACGCGTTTTTCTCGGAATGGTGTTTTTCAAAACGGTGGCCACTCTCAAAGGAAGAATTTTCCAGCTATCCATTTGAAATTTTAACAGAACATTCTTCACGTCATTTCGTATGTTGCAATGAAAGCTTTTTTATTTTTTTTGAACTCTTCCTATTTTTTTTTTTTTTACGAAAAACTGTCGAAAAAAAGGCTAAATTTTATACGTTTTGTTCAAACCGACGCCATTTTTTCAAATTTCACTAAAAACAAAAAAGCCTCCATAGGAGGATAGCGGCTTTTCTACAGATTTATAAACCATTTGAAATTTTTGTTTGAGGTAAAATTTGCGCCCGCAATCCTGGCCACCATGGGACACCATTTTTGTTCCATTCAATTTTCCACAAACAAAAACAACGTTAAACAGTACATAAAGAAACTTTGAAAAAGTCATTTTGTATACTTCATAGGTGCTTCAATTTGTAAAAAAAAAAATTATACCGATTACCTTATTTCATCCACCTAAAAAAAATCGCGAAAATCGGCTATTTTTCTGGCGGTCACACTGTGATGATCCCTTAAAGTATAAAATACCCGGTATCTCGAGGGCACGTGCCGCAGCGCTTCTATTACTCGTCAGGATTTTATAAAGTTTATATTTCTTAATGTTTCCCGCATCGTTCATAATTTATTAATGTTCTAGCCTTCCAAAACTTTCTAATTAAGCTTCTTTCACATTTCAACAATGACGCTCCCCAAGGGTTTATGTTTGATTTTGACTCACCCCAGTCACCATACCCCAGTCACCATACTGCCACTTGGTAGTTGCTTACCCGACCAAATTAAATTCATCAACAAGACCCTAAGGATTAATCTTACCCTCAAATATCAAAGTCCGTGGCTAAGTCATTAGCCCAAAACAATTTTTGTTCATACTGTTGTCAATATTCCAATGTATTTGACGTCTCCAATATTTTCGAGTTTTATATCGAAATTCTTCAAAACTATTAAGATGACAGAGGATAACAAGACTGCCAGGACCACCATGAATACCAAAAGTATTCACATGTTATCTGGCAATTTCAGGAACTCCGGGAGAAATTCGATCAGCAATACAAACCAGAATTGTAAGGGAGGTAGTTTCCAAGAGTTTGGACACCCACCAAATTTATACGTATCTCGATAAATCGAACGGACGTTCAAAGTGGCCTTCGAAAGTTAGTAAAAGCACAAAAAAAAAAAGAAAAACTTTAAAAGAAACGTATTCCATGGCATGCACCAGATAGGACACTTCACTGTAGATACATCTCATCACGAGGAGAAGAATTTGAAGTAATAAAAGTCGAAATGCCATAGCGCGCATATTGATTTCACTTGGTCTGAGGAATTGGAACGAGGATGGTATACATGAAATTTTCAAAGAGAATATTGCATCTCTACGCATAGTGAATAATAGTAGTATCAACCCTGAGAAGATAAATACGCCACTGAATAACTGAAAGGTAGTGCAAAAGTCATCGAATTATATTGGAATTCATATCGACTCTCTTTATAGTCCACGTGCTTACAAAAAAGTTCCGTGAAGCCTCGTAAAAGTTTACGAAATGGACACTTACTCCTAGCTGATGGATACTAAAATGGTACTTACTTCGAACCATTCTCCATTTAAAAAATTTCCCCATTTCCTACCAGCCTAGTAAAAGAAAGAAAAATCCTTGAAATTAACTTCAAGTTTCCCATTGGAGCAAACATAATATTTTTCTCATTTAACCGTTCATTAGTCGAAAACGTGTTTTCTCGTTAGTCGACGATACGCGAGGCGTATGGACAAGGTTTAACGACACGAACCAACCATTAGCTATAGGGAGACATTCTATAGGTAGCCACCATTTCGCGCTTTAAGTTTTGGCGCCAGACTCATAAAAAAAATTAAATAACATCAGATAAAATGTGATTTATTCTATATTAAATCAGGCAGACTACGATGAACAGTAATGGCGGTTCGACTGCACGCTGGAAAAATCACAAGATATTCCCACAACGTTAGTCATCGTACCAGGAGGTGAAATAAAGTACAAGTTTCATCGCAGTGAGAACTTCTTCGAGTATCTAGTGTCTAGGTACGTATATGTAAATCTCGAGCAGTTTTTCGCGTCGATACTTTTATCTCCTAGTAAGTACTGGTGCTATGTGGTACTGACTGGAATCCTGGAATATCTTGGTGACGTGTATGGGTACGTATAAAATATGAGAGAACTGTGAGAAAAGTGGAAAAAGAAATGGATGAAAACAAGGAAAACAGCTAAAGAAAGAGGTAGAAAACGGAAAGTACAAAGAAAAAGAGGATTTTCGTAGTATCATACAATTCCCTCTTTCAGCTAGACTAGAGACACCAGACATCGTCTACGATGTAGTTTAGATACGTGTATTACACCCGAAACAGAATAAAAAGAATGAGCCACGTGATAGGCGTTCTTAATCCGGAAGAAGTAAAAATACAAAATACTTACCACTTACATTAGATACAACGTGCCAGCTTAACAAGCTTCTGCTTAATAGCCTGACGCCTTTTTAACTCGCAAAAAATCTACGAGATCCTTACGGGTCTATTATTGAAACGAGGCGCAATAAACTGTACCGATTGGCGATCATTACAAATGCGAAGTGTCTCGATACGTTAACACTAAAGACCAGAATTCTTTCTAGCAGTTAATCGCTACTTTTCCACGTGTTGGTCGCGCTATCGATTTCAATCAGTTTCTTGTTGTGGGCAAGTATGATTTGATGTGCACACAGTGAGAACTAGCTTTGGAATTCTGTCGATGAGTAAGGAGGTTTTGTTGTTTTGACCTTCTTTTTGGATAGGGCAAGTGCCAATAATATTACTCTTGCTCTATTGGTAGAATGCCAAAGTGGTTAATGAACGATAACGATTTTCAGATAACGGTTAGTGATGCCTATTAGCTTTAGATCATTCACTAAGGATCTGGGACTTTGCTGAATTTTTTCGCAAATTGCACGCACTCAACTGAGTTTTACGTCTGGTTTAATTCAGGACTTCCGTTTACTTTAGGGTGCGATACTCTTTATCTGCATTCTTATTACTTATTGCCTGACTGAATTTCAATTATACGTTCTCAATTGACGTAATTTTTTTATTACGAGACGATAATATTCTTTCACCTTCCAATGTACGAGATGTAATGGGGTAAACGTTAATGTCGGATATAGTGCAAAATCATTGTTTACGATACACGGATTCCTAAGTGATTTAAAGAAATAGAGCGTGAACGGATTTATTTGTCGATTCCGTGACTACTCGCAGAAAGGATTTCCCTTAAGATGAGCTTTCAGGATATTCAAGAGGTTAAACACGTAGTCGAAAAGTCGGTGCTGAATCCCGTCGACTCGTAGAAGCGTTAAGCGAAATGCGAAAAGTTGGCGAAAATCGTGAAAGGGGCCAATCGTTGGCTGGACAAAAAAGTATAAAGCAAAGAAAACCGCCTCGATCAAGCACATACATTCCTCAACTGCGTTAGTGCAAGTGTATCATCTAATGAACGTCTTCTTCTAGAGACCCCTCGCTCCTGGGGATACCGTTGCCACACGGAAAGTAAAGAAAGCTGGGATCAGGCTATTCCAGTTCAGACATTCATCGTTGCAGAGCCGAAGATTCCCAAACATATCCGGTACCACTAAGCCGTAATAATTCGCTGATCCTTTAGTCTGGTAGAAAAAGAAGGAACAAACAATTCTTTATCTCCTTCGAACAGAATAAACAGACATGAAAAAGAAAAAGATAAAAATGCTACTCGGGTATTCACCCCGCACTCTCTGTATTTCTAGTGGCTGATGAAGATCATCTACGAAACTAGGCGACTCCAGCTGTCGTCGTATACGTCAAAGGGAATTAACACGACGTTCCCTAGGGGAAAACATGTGAAACATATAAGGTAATGAAGATTAGTTGAATATTTCAAGAAATGGGAATTAAATATGGGTTAGGTTATTACAAGCGCATTGCTATTAGATGGTTTGATCACTCGAGCATTTTCAGATACGAATCTGAATTTTGTATATATTTTCGCAGCTGCTTAACGGTCCTATGTAAAAAATTTCAAAATTATGTATCATCTAGTTTACGAGATATGCGGAATGAAAGTAGCCAAAAATATGCTATGTAGATATACTTTCGCTTATTAAAGTAGCAATAATTTTCTTCAGATATCTTAGCTTCCATGCGGCTTTGAAATACTTGGATCATTTTTTGCTTGCTGCATTACTTAGATAATATGTGATATGATAATATTAAAAACAATCGATCTATATCCTTGCGTTTGTCTCAAAGACATTACATTACGTAAAAAATATTTTTGTAACAAACGACATACATAGAATTCACAGAAATTGGAATACTATCGTTATGATGGTAGACGACCCACCGTTAGAGAAAATCGTAGTATCTTCTACACGTAGGTGTTTTATACAATAACGATCTATAATAATTCTACGTCCTATGACAGCGTGCAAAACAATTGCACACTAATTCACGCGTCTTTTGAAGCTCTGTCGCAATGCAAGGGAGCACCGATGATCACTAGTTCCGGCTCAAATACCATATGAAACATTTCTACAACTAATAGGTACCTGAATTTCTGGAATTAAATTGAGGAAACTTCAAGCATCCTTAAGTAGTGGTTGAAGTGGAAACCAAAGGAAGATACGCGAATTACATACGGATAAATGTCCTTTACCAGAATATGTCGATTCTCCCCAAGGTGATGGCAGTTTACCAAGTACGTCTAGGTTAGAAGCCATAGAACTTCCAGCAAGTCCAGCACGTCTGAGTTGGATGTACTTGCCTGAGGGGTCTGAGAACCTGAGGATCTAAAGTCACCCAGCACTAGTCATCCGCACACTGGCATGAGAGCAGTTAATTCAACCCCTGCCAGGGGACGGTCGCGGCGGGCGCGAAATCACAAGTTGCCAAGAGGCATGTAATGTCGTCGGATTTGCAATTCCATTACCAACGTTCCCGACTGCCATAGGAAAGGGTACCTAGCATGCTGCTCCAACGTGCTGCTGCTATCCGCGATGGTCTCTTCTCAAGCCTCTCTCATCCCTTCGGCCTCATCCGCTACGAATTCTACCAACCACCGTCACCGTTGCCATCACTACACCACCACTACCACCAAGGTCCTGCAAATCCCTAGCATCTATCCAACTCTGTTGCACTCGCTGGGTTTCTCTATCCCTGACACTCACGCTGTTTCGTCAGCTTTTGACGCTATTTTACGACCGTTTCATTCCTTATTCAGCCAGCGCGCAGTGTGTCAATTATACCAGAGGTAGCAACGTTAAAAACGAAGAGTATGCAATCATCAAAATCCAGTATTATATTACAGGGACATTAACGATGTAAGTGGGCATCGAAATAAAACGATATGAAAATGAAGGACAAAGATAAAAATTACATGAGACCAACTAAAGATCTAGCCTTACTCAGCATATTATTTACCATGAATCATCCGATCCAGCTGATCAAATCGTTACGAACCAAAGATCGACCCTGGTTCGGATGAGTAGAAAGCGTAAAGATCACCACAACAATAAGGTGCAATCTAATCGGGATCGAATGAACAAAAAAAAATCGTGGTCGATCACGACGTCCTTGGCAAGGTCCGATATACAGGTTACAAGGCACCACAACGTTTCGAATGAATGCTGAGTATGAGAAAAAAGAAGAATAAAGAAGGAAACAGAAAATCCTTTATCTCCCGGCTACGTCGCACGGATTGAACCTGATCTCGGTGGATTCTCCACTAGATTGACTATACGTATGTATACCGGGATAGGAATATCGCCATGGCTGTAACAAGGACAGGAAGCATGTAGGTTGTACTAGGTCCGTTAGGTGCCGCCAGAGAGAGTTAATTTAACCCCCTGGGGTCTTTCGAGGTGTGGGAAGTCAGGGGTGAGCACACCGGTGTTACGGATGTATGCTAATGGAGACCTCGGGAGATGTCTAACATCCAACATTCCGAATTACCCATAGCTATATTGCCACTTGAAACTCTCACGGCTGCAAGAGTTAGACAGGAATAATATTTTCATCCAGAGCGCTTGTCACTCCTTATATAAAACATCTTTAACCATCATACATAATGTAGGTAGATAAGACCTTGCCAGTATTTCTGCGTATTTTACACATCGTGCCTCTCTAATTCAGATTTTTGGGTCCTGTTAGCTTATTGCGCAGCTTGTGGCATTTTCTTCTCAAGTAATCTTTGACTTAGAAATCAAATTTACTGTCAACTTCCTGACAAAAATTATTCCCTGGGATCACGTGTAGTAGCGAGAATAAAACACAATAGTCTCTTCCGCGTGTATAGAGAATAAGGGAAGTTTTGATCATTGTTTGGATATCATGGGTGCATACTAACCCATTGGGTACATGCTTGTCATGCTTTCTATGCTTTATCATATACGCGTATTCATGTATGACGTATACCAGCGTCACATCTCAAAAGATTTTCACTCATCAAAAAATCGAAGATTTTATCTGGGTCATCGGTGCACTTCTCCGGAACAGGATAACGACACGTAGATCGCGTAACGACTGAGATTTATAAGGAGAAAATATAACGTCGACAAGAAAAAGTTCGAATGGCAGAGGCAGTGTACGAAGAATATGTATGACGAAACGCCAAAGAAACCTCACAGAGTTACTACATTTACGAAGTATACTCAGACATATTACGTAACCTTAAATAGATAGCTACTGTACATGGTAATATTATTATTATATATATATATATTAATCTGTGGTAGTGTACCATCGGCTGATTGCAATCAGTATGGAGAGTAGTATCTGCTATAAAAATTGAAATACCGAGTTAACTTTAGTTAGTGAAATACTCTTGAATAATTCTTTATATTACATAAAAGTGACGAAAATTGACTCGGGTCAAAACATTTAGACGATTTTTGTCCTAAACGTCGTGTTTCAGTCTATTTTACTCCAATTTTAGTTCATTTTATCCTCTTCTTTGAAAATTTGTATTTTTTTTTGTCCGGCAGACTATGCATTGTACCATTTTTGTTCGAATAGTGATTTTTTTATGTATTTTTATTTGCTTCACTCATAAATCAATAATCTGACGTGACACGACAAAAAGACCTTAAAATTTAAGTTTTGAAAATTCTTTTCAAATATTATACTGACAAATTTAATTAAGGAAAAACTCCTAATTAATCAAAAGAGGCTATTAATATTATTGAAGAATAAAAAAATGCTGACTTTGTTCGTTTGCCGGATATAATCAAACTATAAACAAGTATAACAAAAACAGCAACATTATAGGACAAATTTAGTATTTTTAACGAATGACAGGAACCGTCTAACTTTTTTGTCACGGAGATTTAATAAGAAATCACTGAACCAAGCAGTGGTCAGCCGCGTGCTTGAAATCAGGCTTGAAGAACCGGTTTGAGGAAACTGGATCAGTGTATCGATTCACTAGGAAACTATGAATTCGGTATAGGAGAAACTTCGAGTCTCGTATTAAAATTTCTTGAGTAAGAGAACAAGTAAGAGAAGTGTGGTGCCTGGTACAAGGGGGTTTTTGAAACGTGATGAAGCAGGAAGCAATTCTGGCTATGCATAAACGTCAATTAATCTGAACTATAGCCACAAATCGCAAAAAGAAATATCATGCATAGTTTTTGTATCCTCGATCTTAAAAACCTGTAAGTGAAACCAGGAACCTCACCATAGAACAAAAAACTGGAACATCTTCATGGTTTCAAATATAACAACAAAGAGAATTGCGTGAGACGAGGTAACCTTAGAATGATCGCCGTAAGTATGAGCGTTAAATACTACTGATACAGAGGCGACTTTAAATTCGAGTCATCTACGCAACCCCTAAAATGTGGTGATAGGAAGTCGAAAGTGACACTCTGCGATCTGTGACACGACCACGGCATTTTGTAGGTAATTTAAAGTCTTCAGCAGGGACTGAATGAGAACCGGAGGGAAAAAATGTACAAAGTAGGGCAACAGGGAGATTGAACGCATTCCACACGGAGGGGTTGGGCAGAGGCACCAACAGGTATACTCTGAAATTTCTGGAATTCACCCTCTTCCAAAAGGCACCAAGGACCTTCTCAATGTCTTCTGCGATTAGTAGCTATCAACCAGACAAAGAATCGCCGCTGATTAGTGGGCAGACGTTATCCTGTATAAATACCCACGAATCCCAAGAATCCTAAATTCACATTCTGAGAAAAGCACCACGCTTGCTGGAATAATCAAAATCCTTGCCAATCGTTATTCCAAATCCTTCTGAATATATTTCCCATTGATATACCATCCATTGTACAGACACACGATTCAGACAGATAACCTATTACCGATGTTTTTCTTATGGAAGATGTCAATGATAATTATATCCACTTATAGTTATTTAAAGAGAAGGAGTGTTTACTCAACTTAATACTTTCTCATAACTTCATAGTTCCACGGGAGTTCAACAGGCGGCGAAAATAATATTCAAAATCGATAAAATTTTTCTTTGTTGCTAAATGGATCCTACCCACTACCCTTAGTAACTAGATAACTATTTTCCCTCAGCAGACACAGCTAGAACTCTGGAACGAGTGAGCATGCAGAGGCATTGAATCTACAACTAACGAGATAACAACGTCAACGAGAGTAGAGGAACTGAAGTTCGTTTCCATTATTCCAGGACGAATGAAGCTACAAAATGTCGCTAAACAACAAGAGCTATACTTCTGCAGTTCCATAGAACCCTTTGACGTTGCCCGAACCAAGAGCGACTGCTTTTGCAATGTCATGCAGGTACTCGTCTGTCAAAGGATCACAGATGGGATTATATGCAGTGAATAGATGATGGGGCGGTAGCGACGACGGCATAGAGTAAAAGGGACCATAGTAGCGCTGGTCTGGTCGAGGTTAGCGGGAATGTGGCTTGAAGGGTCAGGGGATTTTATAATCTT